ATTTAACTTTGTGTTAGTAAAATAAAAGTACGTACTACCTGCCAAAAAAAGTTCCGTCAAAATCGGTCCAGTCATTTCAGAGATTAGCCGGAACAAACAGACAGACAGACAAAAATAGTAATAAATGTTATTTTGGTGTATGTACCGTATTTATATTCATATGCATGTAGTAAAAAACTGTTATTTCAATATTACAAACAGACACTACAATTTTATTTATATGAATATTTCTGCTAAGAAAGGATTTTTATTAATTCTACCCCCAAGGGGATAAAATAGGGGATGAAAGTTTGTCAATTTTAAACCGATCGGGCTGAGACTGCATGCATAAAGCTACTATGACGTAGGCATCACCTAAGAAAGGATTTTGATAAATTCCACCCCTAAGGGGATAAAATATGGGATGAAAATTTGTAAAAATCTTTGATTTTCAACAACAAAATAATTTTTAGTTCTTTAGGCTACTTTTATTTTAGAAAAATAAAGTTAAATTCCACGCGGACGAAGTCGCAGGAATAGCTAGTTAGAAATAGAAATAGAAATAACCTTTATTCAAATAAACTCATTACAAGCACTTTTGAATAGTCTATTAATAATATAATAGTCTATTAATAAAGAATATAAATAGGGTTATAAAATTAATAGCAGGTAATTATAACTTGAGTTTAGTCATTAGAAGAAATAGAATTGTTTCCTCTTAGTGATAGGAATGTAGAGCTATATTGGGTATCGATGCGAGTGTCGCAAGGTGTCAGGGCTGTGTGTCGCGGGGCAGTGTGTCAGCAGTACCGGTGTCGGCCCGCGGGAGGACCGGTTCGGTTCTAAATCGCCACTGTCGCAAACTTTTTTTTTCGGACTACTCTAATGCTGTTGTCCGCAGCTGGGCTTTACAGCTTCACCGGACGATAGGGGGCGATTGCAGATGGCACTCCAAACCAAGGAAGGACTTATGCAGCGGCTGAAGGCCAACTCCCGCCTGATGGATACGACTTCAGTCTGAGGGCACTGCTAGGGGTTCGAACCTCGGCTCAGGCCGTCGTAATTTCGATCTCCGTTTGAATTGGACGGGGATCGATCGGAGGGGTGTCGCAAACTGTGCATGTAACCAGTGCTAACCTATTTTGATGACTCCGATGACGTCGGCACCCAGCAACGCCAGGATTAGTGACTCAAATAACATGAAAGATGTATAGATATTTACTATATTCACATCAACATATATACATACATACTGATAGTGTTTTCAAATTAAATGAAGGGAAATTTAAGATACATATAAAAATACACTGCGCTAAAGCTTATTATAAAATTAACGACTACTTGAATGACTACAATGCGTGGACTTAATTACAATTTTAACTTTTGTTATGAGGTATATAACTTTCTCATTGACATAGATAATGTAATAAACACTAAAGAAACTTATCCTAAATTTAGTAATGACATATTGTAATTTAAATAATGTAAATTAAATATTGTAATGGGTGAAAACTGTGATTGGTACAGTTTATGCTGTAAATAATATAAATGACGTAGTGGAGTAACTTGAAACAGTCATGCTCGCTATAAAGTTCAAACTTGTGGCGGCGTGGTGGGCCGGGTCGATGTGCTCCCTCTAATATGGTTGAGTGCAATGATGGCTGGCTCATCCGTCATACTCGTGTACGGGTGCTGCTTGTGGGGACTGGTCTGTTCAGGTTGCGAACACTGATTAGATTTTTTGATTTTTTTTTTTTTTTTATATAGCATATGCTGGTGGTCACTCTATTCTCCCAAATTTGAATTTAAATGAGATAGTATTATTGTAAATATGTACAACATTAAAAAAAAATACGAGCTGAGTTTCTTGTCAGTTCTTCTCATCTCGAAATCATTCCGAACTGACGGTAGATTTGACATATCATAAGAGTCTGTAATAGACCTACATGAATGAAGATATTTTGAATTTGAATTTGAATTTAATTGATACTTGACAATAATATACCCTCGTCGGGTGGAATGCACCTTCGAAACCCTCAGCTCCAGAAACCCTACAGATACTTGAAGGTACACCGTATGGTTTTTGGTGGGTAAAAATCCCACACACTACCCCGCCGTCGCTGGGGTGGGGTGACGGTCTTTTTATGATAATAATAATAATAAAAAAAAAATACCAGCGAAAGTTGAGAGAATATAAAAAAAATATCTCAGGACAATTCACACAGCGCCATCTAGTCCCAAGCTAAGCAGAGCTTGTGTTATGACTAACTGATATAAATACATGGATACATTTTTTTTGTAAATAAATATATATTATACATAGAAAACACTCAGACCTATACAAACAATCATACTCATGAATATAAATGTTTGTACTGTGCGAGGAATCGAACCCACGACCATCGGATAGTAAAGCGGTGCTAAACCACTAGACCACCGAGGCTGTGGCTGGCTTTTGAAGATTTTTCACGAGTTACAATAAGAGAAGCTTGAAATTACAAAATAATTTAAGACACTCTAAGTGGTATATCATGTTACCATCTACCTGCTGCCCTTCAGTTTACCCGTGGCCATCTGTAATCGACTGTGAGACTGTCCAAATATTGGAAATTCAATAAATATAAACAAAACATAGTAAGATCTCATTAGTTTAATCTATAATCTATACATATAATTAAAATTGGAGTGTCTGTTTGTAGAATAGAATAGAATAGAAAATCATTTATTCAAATAAACTTACATTGAAGCACTTTTGAATAGTAATTAAATTTTTTTGTAATATTGAAATAACCGTTTTTTACTAGATATGAATATAAATACGGTACATACACCAAAATAACATTTGTCTGTCTGTATGTTTGTTCCGATTAGTCTCTGAAATGGCTGCACCGATTTTGACGGGACTTTTTTTAGCAGGTAGGTTATGTAATATGGAGAACTTAGGCTACTTTTATTTTAGAAAAATTCTTTTATCTATACATATAAATAAAATTGGAGTGTCTGTTTGTAATATTGAATTAACCGTTTTTTACTACATGCATATGAATATAAATACGGTACATACACCAAAATATCATTTTTTACAATTTTTGTCTGTCTGTCGGTCTGTTTGTTTCGGTTAATCTCTGAAACGGCTGGACCGATTTTGAGGGGACTTTTTTTAGCAGGTAGCTGATGTAATAAGGAGTAACTTAGGCTACTTTTATTTATCTAAAATAAAGTAATCGAAGTCACGGGAACAGCTAGTTTTACATATAAATGAACGCGTTAAATGTATAAAGGTGTATATTAAAATTGTTCCTTTTCTTGTGGAGTTCAGACATACAATACATGTCAATTAATCATATGTTATAACAGAATGTGTATGTATGTCTTACATTTATGTACAGTTTATATAATTAAACGTTATTTAGTAACATTAAGAAGGCGTTTTAATGAAGATAGTCATCTGCAACACGCTGACCGCTTTATCAAAATTATGATACTACAACGATGTCGGAATGTTTTCGTAATATATTTATTTATATTTGATAAAACCAAATCAATATTTCGCTTATTATAAAAACTCCATTGCGTATTCATTAATTATAAATCTGCCTGAAAAAAGATTTAGATGTCATATATGTTACACTAATAAAACAATAACAAACTGTTTTACCTAAATGTCGTTTAACTAAAGTTAGTAATTCGTTTTATGGCAATTGCGTAAGGTTTTACAACAAATTACCAGAGTCTGTTATAAATCTGCCTGAAAAAAGATTTAAATGTCATATAAAACACTTCGTTTGCAAAAAAGCTTACTATAAAATTGAAGAATTCGTTAACGATAAAAAGTTTTTATAGAAAAACTTAAAATCCATAGCACTAACAATATTATCTGATTACACTAATAATGAGTGCGTAGTGATTTCTATGTTAATTATCGCATGCCTCTTACTTGCTATACTGTAATTATTTATATAAAAAAAAACTTCAATTCAAAAGAGCAACAAACAAGTTTCTTGCTCATTCTTCTTGTGATGAATCTGCATTCCGTATGAGTGGTAGAATCAAAATATGACTATTCAAAAGTGCTTGTAATGAGTTTATTTGAATAAAGATTATTTCTATTTCTATTTCATTTAGGTAGACTTCCATAATTATGTACCTTGTGGGAAAGAAGATCTGCACTATATTTTGATGGAATGTGCTTGTAATTCATCTATAAAAGAGTATATCCAAGTTATATATCGTCCAAACTTAATTATCAATTTAACTTCCAAGTTAAATTGATTGGACATAGGTATATCCATGAAATATTGGCAGTGACAACTTCCGATGTTGCCAAGTTATTGTTCTAGCTGGTTTCGCATAAGTTTAAGTTGTAATTTTTTGTTATTTAGTACAGGTACAATGAGATTGTCATAGTCATATTACGTGAACAAATATCCCAAATCTATATCTAAATATATGCAACTCAAAGGTGACTGACTGACATAGTGATCTATCAACGGACAGCCCAAACAACTGGACGGATCGGGCTGAAATTTGGCATGCAGGTAGATGTTATGACGTAGGCATCCGCTAAGAAAGGATTTTAATTAATTCTACCCCCAAGGGGATAAAATAGGGGATCAAAGTTGTTATGAAACTTTGTCAATTTTTCCGATCGGGCTGAGACTTTGCATGCATAAAGCTACTATGTCGACAGACACTATATCAGTCAGTCACCTTTGAGTTATATATATATATAGATAAGTAATAAGAATATATCTACTTATAAAATTGTTTTTTATAGAATTTCTCCGAAACAGTATGATTTTTGATGTATATAGATTTGGTCTTAGAATATTTAAGTCTTTTCTATACCCCTAAGAGTTAAGGGTGGAAATCATTCATCCGACATTACATTTGCCGTGACCTGGCTATTATGTATATTTATATATATATATAATAAGAACTAGAAGCAGGGGAAAGGCTCAGGCATGTTACGCAAGTAGGTGCGCATGCGCCGGCGCGGTCCGCCGCAGTGTGACCCCAACATGGCGCGAGCGATCACCGCCGTCGCCCTCGCCGCTCTGGCCTGCGTATGCGCAGCCCAGGATGTCTACGACATCTCCGGTACAGTGCTCGTGTTTAACACCCTCTACAACCCTTGTGCACCCTGTGATTTATATTAATAGTTTTAAATTCAGTGTTTGAAATTTAACCATAGTTAAATTATAAATATGAACGTTATTAGAACCCTACATAGTATAAAATAATGTCGCTGTCGCTGTCTGTCCGTCTCTATGTATGCGTAAATCTTTAAAACTACGCAACGGATTTTTAAGCGGTTTTTTTTAAGATAGAGTGATTCAAGAGGAAGTTTTATATCATTGCATAGTATAAAATAAAGTCGCTGTCGCTGTCTGTCCGTCACTATGTGTGCTTAAATCTTTAAAACTACGCAACGGATTTTGAAGCGGTTTTTTTTAACAGATAGAGTGATGCAAGAGGAAGATTTATATATATCATACATGTACACCCGGGCGAAGCCGGTGCGAGTAGCTAGTTTTTTTTAATAAACAAAACTATTTTAAATAAATGTGCTATACAAAAGGCGATTTTAATAATTTTCTATTGTGCACAGAAATATTTACAAAAAAAATACTCATCGCTTAAAGCAATCTGTTGTTCTCTTAATCTGTTTAATGTGTGCAATTACATCGATATTTGTTTAAAAGTTTTTGAGTGCTTTACGCAATCATAATCAAAATGTTTTACTGCAGTGTCCAGTATTTGGTTTGTCTGGTACCACACCAGTATCTAAGGAAGTTAAAGTAGTGAATGTTGGTTTAAACGTTATACAATATGAAATACTATGCGATTTGTATAGCTATATACTGTGGGTGTGTTAAAGTTACATATATATGTGTACACGCGATTTCGTCCGACTTAAATTTTCTAAAATAAAAAAAAATCTAAAATAAAAGTAGCCTAAGTTACCCTTATTACATCGGCTACCTGCCAAAAAAAGTCCCGTCAAAATCGGTCCAGCCATTTCAGAGATTAGCCGGAACAAACAGACATACAAAAATTGTAAAAAAATATTATTTTGTTATTTGTAAAAAATATTATTTTGTTCTCTTACTTTAATTATTTATATAAAAAAGAAACATCTATTCAAAAGAGCAACACACAAGTTTCTTGCTCATTCTTCTTGTGATGAATCAGCATTCCGAATGAGTGAGTGAGTTTTGAATAGTCATATTTTGATTCTACATCAAAATATGACTATTCAAAAGTGCTTGTAATGAGTTTATTTGAATAAAGATTATTTCTTTCTATATATAAATTAAATTGGAGTGTCTGTTTGTAATATTGTAATAGCCGTTTCTTACTACATGCATATGAATATAAATATGATGCATACACCAAAATAACATTTTTTACAATTTTTGTCTGTCTGTTTATTTCTGGCTAATGTCTGATATGGCATGACCGATTTTGATGGGACTTTTTATAGAAGATAGCTGATGTAATACGGAGTAACTTAGGCTACATTTTCGTTTTAGATAAATATCTTTTATTTTAGAAAAATAAAGTTACATTCCACGCGGGAACAGCTAGTGTAGAATAAATTTTGATTAGAGTTAATTATTATATCAGTTTATTTACTTAATCTTATTATGATTCTTTAAATTACGTCTTTTATCCTCAATAGAGTACCTCGGGTATTGTCGACAGTGGAAGTGTCGATATGTATATTAACATCCAAAGTGGTATACAGGTTTAAAACTGATTAATTTGGTAGTTTTTTACCGGTGTTTCCATCACAGGAAAGTCAGTCAGAAATATAAATTTTCCTTTCGGTCTATGTGGGGTAATTACCACTATACCACAGTTAAATTTATCTATACATATAAATAACATTGGAGTGTCTGTTTGTAATATTGAAATAACCGTTTTTTACTACATGCATATGAATATAAATATGGTACATACACCAAAATAACATTTATTAAAATTTTTGTCGGCATGTCTGTTAGTTCCGACTAATCTCTAAAACGCCTGGACCGATTTTGATGGGACTTTTATTGGCAGGTAGCTGATGTAATAAGTAGTAACTTAGGCTACCGTTATTTTAGAAAAATTCATTCATTTTTTAATAATAAAGTTAAATTCCACGCGGACGAAATCACGTGTAGATCAAGTAAAAATAACATTTATGCAATTGCTTTTAAAAAAAAAGTAATTCAATTGAGTTTCTTGCCAGTTCTTCTCAATTGGATCTATATATATACGGAACTGGGCGGTAGGCAAAAGAAATATATAATGTAAAAACTTGACGTTCATAAGCTGCTAAAATGTCCTAAATGAATAAATGATTTTTGAATTTGAATTTAAAGTGCCTATTCATTACAAATAAAGCTATTATATTAATCAGTAAATAGCAAATTGAATATTATACGTGTTGTTTAGTTGATAATAATGATCGTTAAAATTGTTTTAAAGTAATTAAAAATCTAATTATGACTTAAATAGTGTTATATTATCTGATTATAATGAGTTATTGTATTTCTTGTTTGTCTCTACAATAGCAAGACGATTTTCAGGGTCTTCTTTTTTCTTCTTTCTTTCTTTCTTTATCACAAAGAGAGTAAATTCTTGCTACATTTAAAACTCTTATACAGTTTTTATTCTTTATATTACTATGCATATTTTTTACACATTTTCATTTTTTTATATTACTATACCTACATTTTTTTACACATTTTCATACCTGTTTATACTATAAATATATATCTATATATATCTTATATATAAAATTCTCGTGTCACAGTTTTCGTTCCCATACTCCTCCGAAACGGTTTGACCGATTCTCATGAAATTTTGTGAGCGTATTGAGTAGGTCTGAGAATCGGCCAACATCTATTTTTCATCCCCCTAAATGTTAGGGGTAGTCCACCCCTAATTTTTTTTTATTTTACGGCAAAACAACGTTTGCCGGGACAGCTAGTAATGATATAAAAATGAATTGCTGTCCGTTAATCTCACTAAAACTCGAGAACGCCTGAACCGATTTTGCTAATTTTAGTCTTAAAATATTCGTGGAAGTCCAGCGAAGGTTTGAACGGTGATAAAATACGAACAAATTGCATGTAAAGTAGTAAAAACAACAATTATATTCTCCCATACAAACTGCCGATACCTGTTGAACAGGGTGCGTTCAGAAATGTATTGCGTAACTAAACTTCAAAAAACATTTGACATATTTAATTTTGAGTTCGCGGGGTCAGCTAGTTGCGATATATATATAGGTATATATATTACACATTTTCATACCTATTTATAATATACTAGCTTTTGCCCGCGGCTTCGCTCGCGTTAATTTATCCCCTTAGGGGTGGAATTTATTAAAATCCTTTCTTAGGGTATACCTACGTCATAGAAGCTTTATGCATGCAAAGTCTCAGCCCGATCGGTTTAAAGTTGACAAAATTTCATACAAACTTTCATCCCCTATTTTATCCCCTTGGGGGTAGAATTAATCGAAATCCTTTCTTAGCGGATGCCTACGTCATAACATCTATCTGCATGCCAAATTTCAGCCCGATCCGTCCAGTGGTTTGGGCTGTGCGTTGATAGATCACTATGTCAGTCAGTCAGTTTTGAGTTATATATATTTAGATATACATACATACATCTATCTATATCTAAATACATCATGGTAACTCTGTATTTATAACATTCTGTAACTCCAAATGTATACTTATTATTTATATACTAGCTGTACTCGCGACTTCGTTCCCGTGGAATTTTTCTTATTTTACTAAAAAAAAATTTTTATAAAATAAAGTAAATAAGTTACTCCTTATTACATCAGCTACCTGCTAATAAAAGTCCCATCAAAATCGGTACAGCCATTTCAGAGATTAGCCTTAACAAACAAACAGACAAAAATTGTAAAAAAAAATATTTTATAACCGTATTCATATTCATATGCATGTAGTAAAAAACTGTTATTTCAATATTACAAACTGGCACTCCAATTTTTTTTTACACATATACATGTATAGATTATTATTTCTTAGGTATGTTAGTATATAAGGTGCATATTAATAATGTGGGCCGTGTAGCTTGAATTAAATAAATAAATAAATAGTTAATTGAGCGTATCTTTTCAAGTATTCACCGTTAGTTATTTAGTTAGGATATTGTGACATACGCTGCCCACCGCGCCGGCCGACGCTACTCTACGTAATATTATTACATATTATTCAAAGTCGACGTTCCATCGCACTCTCCCACACTCGCCGCTTATTGCAATATTGCAAACTAATTACTACATTTGCTTTAACTGTAACCGTCGATAAATAATTAATACGTAACCAGCGCGTGGTTAAATTTAACGTTTTCCTCATAACCGGTCTTTTTACGGTTCCATAACAAAAATATTCAATTGTACAAATACAATTTAGAATAGAATAGAAATCGTTTATTCAAATAAACTTAATTTAAACACTTTTGAATAGTCAACATTTTTTTAAATCTACCGCTCATTAGGAAAGCTGTCTCATTACAAGAAGAATAAGCAAGAAACTGGTGTGTTGCTCTTTTAAATAATCCTTGTAAGTTCACATTTTACAAGTCGAAAAGTGAGAATACAAACTACCAACCAGCACTAACTTATTAGGGTCAAATATAAATATACAATAAGATTAAATCAGTCGTAGTGATAAGAGCAGACCAGTCCCTACAAGCAGTACTCGTTCACGTGTGTGACGGATGAGCCAGCCATCACTGCGCTCGACCATATTTTAGGGAGCACATTGACCCGGCCCACCACGCCGCCACATGTCTGGACATTTTAGTGAGCATGACTACTCACCACTCAATTGAGTAGGCGACTGATGAAAACTTTAGTTATAGAAATTGTCAATCAGAAGAGAGATTATAAACTATTTTATAAACTGCTTGTGGGGACTGGTCTGTTCAGGTTGTGAACACTGATTAAATTTTTTGTTCTTTGCGATAGCATATGCTGGTGGTCACTCTATTCTCACAAATATGAATTTTAATAACTGTATTTATCATAAACATGTTCCACTATTATTTGAAAAAAATACGAGCTGAGT